GACCATCGTTCCTTACGAAAACCGACAATCGATTTTCCTTTTGTCGAACCCCTTCGACTTACTGCCAAGAACCTCTTGATTGATATCACATACCAATCAAGTGCTTGTTGTCAAAACCCTTTTGACACAACCAACCTCAACATATATCGCATATACAAAAATGAATTCAGCATATCACATATACCAAAATGAATTCATCATATCACACACAATAAGATGAACATATCACACATATGCACAACTAAATTCGATTTAGAGCTTTACAAGAGGCTCTGCTACCAGTGTAAGTATCCGGGCATGCAAACTTGACAATCAAGTGCAGCGGAAAGACCCGGAAACCTTGGAGGATCCAAGTGAAGCAACCAAACCGAACAACAAAATCGATCATACCTGAAACGGTTAGGATCTTTCACCTAACTGAAGAACCGAATCAGCTAGAGCCGGAAGAATATCCTTCTCCTCTACGGTATCCACACGAACCGTGATGACTAGCCGGAAACCGTCACACGATCTCCAACCCGAGCTCTCCCGAGACGCGGTGCTAGCTGCGGAATTCGGGAGCTTGAACTTGTGGTGTTTTTGGTGTTCTTCCTTCTTTCTCAAAGAAGAAGAAGAGAGTGTGTGTCTATAAACTCAAGTCTTACTCAAGTTTTCTGGTGTGTAGTATGGTGTTAAGCTAAAGCTCTCAAGTCTGAAAACTGATCACTACACACTTGATCACACTAACACACAATGCATTAGTTAATTAGACTAATGGCCAACAGTATGGCCCAAAGGTAGCATGATAATGACACTCACCATCTTTTTTCTACCACTAATGCATTATCACACATCAACACAACACAGCACTAAACCTGGTTCAATAATTCAGATAATTAGTGAACCAAAACGACCCTAGTTCAACCACGGTCCAACCACAAACCAGTTCAACCACGGTCCAACCATGGTTCAACCACCTGCTCGAATCAACGGTTCTATGTGTGTGACCCTGTAGGCACTTGTAACGTCCGGCAATAATTGCAATATCTCATTTTACAATTATAAGCAAAGAGCGGCGTCTAGCAACACATCATTGCTACCCGAAGACAAGATCAGTACTGATTCTATATGCCTCGGAACATGTCTTCGTCCTTTCGTCCCATTATCAAGATTAAACCGAGACATGGAAAACGTCAATCTCGTATAGGTTTAATCTTAGTTTCTTGATCCCCGAGTTAACTGTGTATAACAGATACTAATGATATCACTATATCATATATTCCGAGCATGGCCATACATTTAAAAGTTCAACTCTATCAAGAAGCCCATCTGATAATATACCCGATATATGGGTCGGACGAATCTCATCTTGATCAATCAAAACCCACTACACATTTATCATATACCCAATGATTACCCTTAAGTCCACCCAGTTACGGATGACTAGGAATAATATCAAAGTATATGACTCACATGTTGGGAACCTTGATGATCTCAGGTCTAAGGACAATACATATAAGAACCACTACACATTTATCATATACCCAATGATTACTCTTAAGTCCACCCAGTTACGGATGACTAGGAATAATATCAAAGTATATGACTCACATGTTGGGAACCTTGATGATCTCAGGTCTAAGGACAATACATATAAGAACCACTAATGACAATCATATAACGTTCCATGTAAGGTTCTTATGTGGGTCGGTCCAGTCCACAAGTTCTCTAACTTGTACCCGTATGTAGAATTAATATCTCATATAATTCTCAACATACGCTAGTCTTAATTTATTATTACAACCCATCCATAATAATAATCGACTAGGGACATTTTAGAATACAAAGTATTCTAGGGTTATAAATATGTACAAGCGATTATCTCATAATCATATTTATTGAAATAACCTCAATGTATATACATGACTCATACAATCATCCATTGATTTGGCTTTTGGGCATATCACTAACAGTTGACACCCAATGGACTTGTCCAGCAAGTTAAAGGGCACTTAAATAGTAAGTTTGTGGAATAGAAAAAGCAAGTAGAGTTTTGAGGTTGTCTTTATTCTCTTCTCACCTTCTTCTGTAGTTACTCTTTTGTTAAGGGATTCAAAACTCTCCCATAAGAGTTGGCTTAATCAAATAGTTTTTTTACTGCAATTAATAGATTACGAGGCATACGCTTCACAACCATTTATAAGCCAGATGCATGTAGTACTTTCCTTCAGAAGCACCCTCCCAAACCTAAAAATTAAGTTCCAAGCTAGATTGTGCTAAAAAGGTAGCCTGAATTTGATCCAAAATAGATTGTGGGATTATACCTGCAAGAATTGCGGAATCCCACTCTTGATTGAAGATTAAATCCGAGACCCGCATATCTTGGAGAGCACATAAGAATATTGATGCCATTTGCAAATAGATCTTTACAGAAAATAATGTTGTAGAAGATGATTAATGTCACATTACTAGTGCAAAATCATAATGATCATCACACAATCGTGACATAAAAAATTAGCTCATCTATTATAAATTTGGACGAGATAGAAAATTAAAGTCAAGAGATATTTGGAAGATAGTTGACGAAGAGTCAATAATGATTCTTTGAAATATTAACATTTTTCCATCATTAGCATAGTAAGACCAATAAAAGCTTTGGAATCCACGAAAAAGTACATAAAAACTGTACATACATATGAGAATAAATAAAAAATTCAAGTATTCTCGACAAAAAAAAAATTCAAGTATATACTGTATATAACAATTCCGAATGGTTGAGAATATGTCAATTCGTACTGAAACTAAATCTTTAGATAAATCTATCCTCATTCTAAAAAATGAGGTGGAAATTTCGTTAAAAAAAAAAAAAGCTAGCAAAACGACATTCTTCTTCTTTTTGTTCGTGGATAATACAAGCGAGCCAATGGAGTTGTGTGGCTAAATGGACTAAAACCCAGTTATTGGTAGTGTATTCCTGTATGGATGGAGCAAGCCCGAACTTAAGCCCAGCCCCATTCGAAGATTTTCTGTTTCTTTTATATATACGCTGTATATCATAACGACCATATACAGTAAAAGCTCTTTTTCCAGCGTCGGGACGAATACTGCAGAGGATAACAACTAAAACCCTGGACTGGAGCAGAGTTAAAAACCCATAAAAGTAGATCCCTCCAATTCCTTTTCTTTTGGAGCCTCCACCACCAATCCAAACCATCCTCTGACCAACGGCGGCGGCGATGGGTTGCTTAACCACTCCCATCGTCACCTCATGAACTCCCTCTTCTTCATCTCTACCCCTAAAAAATCGCTTCTCAAGTCCCTCCTTTCTCCGTCTCTAAAAACCCTCATGGCTTCCTCTGCACTTCCCCAATCCCTCGACGACGACCTGTGTTCCACCCTTAACCACCAAGAGCAAGAGCAAGAGCAAGAGCAGGAATTGGGCTCCAACGAATATGGCGGAGATGCGGCGGCGGCGCCGAGCTCCTCCTTGGGTCCGCCGGGCCGGTACCTGAGCGGAGAGGCCCGGGTGGAGCGGGCATGGGCACACTGGATGAAACTGGGCCGACCCAAGTTGATAGTTGCTCCCATGGTGGATAATTCGGAGCTTCCTTTTCGAATGCTGTGTAGGAAGTACGGAGCCGAGGGTGCTTATACTCCTATGTTGCATTCCAGGATTTTTACCGAGAATGAAAAGTACCGTAACCAAGAGTTTACCACTTGTAAGGTACTTGAGTTTTAGTCCCCTCAAACATTAAAACTTATATTCGCTTGGTTTCTTTTTTGACCGTCGCAGAAGCGTTGATTGAGTTGGGTTGGAAGTTTTGTAGTGTGTTTCTTTTTTGTATTTAATTGTCCCAAGTTGTTAGAAATAGACACCGTAGTTTGCTGTTGCTTTAATGTACGATTTTGATAACAATTGCAGGAGGATCGCCCATTGTTTGTCCAGTTTTGTGCAAATGATCCCGACATTTTGTTGGAAGCAGCAAGGAGAGTGGAGCCTTATTGTGATTATGTGGACATTAATTTGGGGTACTATTTTCAAGCAACCATCTTCCTTTTTTTTTTACACTTTTTTTGAGATAGTTTAATGATTTGAAAGCTGTCCTATATGATGGTTCTAACAAAATATAGAGCTTGTATGGATGATTTGATGAATTGGAAACTTATACTCAAAAGCTTACTTGCTATTAATGCCTTCTTTGTAGTTGTCCTCAGCGGATTGCCAAACGAGGGAACTATGGAGCTTTCCTCATGGATAACCTTCCGCTTGTGAAATCTCTGGTTGAAAAACTTGCTCTTAACCTTCATGTGCCCGTATCTTGCAAAATCCGTTGTTTTCCAAAGTTGGAAGATACAATTAGTTATGCAAAGATGCTGGAGGAAGCTGGCTGCTCGCTTTTGGCTGTCCACGGTCGAACGAGGGACGAGAAGGATGGGAAGAAATTTCGTGCCAATTGGAAGGCTATCAAGGCTGTAAAAGATGCCCTCAGAATCCCAGTGCTTGCCAACGGGAACATACGTCATATGGATGATGTTCGGGACTGCTTGGAAGAGACTGGCACTGATGGGGTGCTCTCGGCTGAGACTCTCCTCGAGAATCCAGCTCTCTTTGCTGGATTCCGGACCGCTGAGTGTGCTGTTGGTGGAGAAGAGAGCAGTGCAGATGGACAACTAGACCAGGCTGATTTATTGGTGGAATATTTGAAGCTTTGTGAAAAGTACCCTGTGCCATGGAGAATGATCCGTGCTCACGTTCATAAGATGTTGGGAGACTGGTTCAGGATCCATCCCGAAGTAAGGCAGGATCTCAATGCACAATCCAAACTAACTTTTGAATTTCTATATGATTTGGTGGATCGTCTCAGAAAACTGGGTGTTAGGATTCCACTTTATAAAAAAGAAGAGATCAATCATGTCGCCAGAGCTTCACCAAATGGGTTGGTTAATTGAAGTAGTTAATCCGCAGCAACTCCAACCCGTGTTGTTCGTGCCATACCAAACCTAGGATCGTACAGAGCAGACAGGTTATCATTGCTCCGATTGTTTTATTTGGTTACTGATTCTTATTTTGTTTTTGATTAGAGAATTGTCCTGCAACACATACTAGTGTGGTCAGCAGGCAAATAGGAAGCATAACTAGCTTCACATTATTCCAGATTGTTGTATCTCATAGAAATTGAATTCCGTTCTAACCCTGATGGGTTCTTTTTGTAGTATCTTTCCTTTATTCCTCAATGAAAAAGGCTTCAAATTTTTAAAACCAGGATGATGTATCAATTGTAAGGCATTGATAATTGCTCCGATCCCCAATGGTTTTCTTACCGGTTGATATTTGCTATGAAACTGAGATGGTGAAACTATGCCGTACATAGATGTTATTTACTTGGCGAGAAACTGTATTTATAATCCTGTAGGTTTAGATGTGAGGATGATGTCAAATAGAGATGCACTAGCACAAGAATGGCTGAATTTCACATTTAGGATCAGGATGTTACACGGTACAGAAACAAAAAGGCGTCTTGTATCGCCATGCATGTCATTTGTGACCAGGATTGTGGGGAACCACCGCACCTGGTGGTTCAACCTTCAGATTATTAGATAGCATTTACAACGCAATAAAAACCGAGACTAATACACAAAATTTGTCTGCACTTTGCTCACTAGATGCTCTCCATAGACAGCTTTTCCAAACTTAGATATTCCACCAGTTTTCTGTATACAGATGTCTAATGGCTCCACTGCTGCATCATAGTTGGGCTGTTCAAACAACACAATCATGCGCAAAGGGTTATTGTTTTTCTCATTTAGGAAAATAAAAAGAATATAGTGGATGGGCTAACCTCATAGAAGTAAGCGATGCATACGCGATATTTTGAGGAATTATTGATGACCCGGTGCAGAGTTGAATCATACAAACCATTGGACAATATCTGCAGCTCAAAGTGCTGGTAATGATGATCCAGGAGAAGTATGAAAAAGGAAAATATTGATGGATTCCCTAATGTTACATACCTTCAGCATGTCTCCAATGTTGCATACAAATGTTCCTGGAATAGGGGGTGCAGGTATCCACTCACCGGACATGTTTCTCACCTTCAACAATTCAGTCCAAAAATAATTGTGAAAGAAAAAACCAGTGGCACTTACATAGCAATATAAGTTCAATGCCAATAGTTATAGCTTGTTGTCAGCCTGAACCATAGTCTAAGCTTCTACGAATTTTAATGATGCTACCTCTTTCCCCGCTGCTATCAAGTTTTAGTTAGTAGACACAACCTTAGATGCATATATTGCTAAAAGAAAACCTTAGATGCATACTCAAATGGTTTGGTTAGGAAGCAGCAAGAAGTTTCATTTGAACGTAGAAGACTAAGAGCATGGATCTTCATCATGAAAAGGTCTCGAGCTTCGTATTTTTCCCAGCTCTGCATTCGCACATTGCAAATTTCTCTCTTCCTCCCTTCGGATAGTGGGGAGAGGAGGTTATAAGGTATTCTTAAGTTTGGCACAGTTTTACCGTTTACTAACTAACAATGGGTGTTTGCTATGGCAAGGAACTGTTTAGATGCCCATGAACAACAACAGCAGTTATCATCAAATGCAGTACAGTTCAATCAATGGCATACGGTCTAACACTAATGGCCATTGACATGGCAACTCATGGAGACATAGAAGCATTAAGTTTTGGGTGCAAAAATCAAGGGAAAACCAGTTGGAAGATTCCTATGGAGGTGCATGCAACTTTGATTATCGCCAAGTTTCATGCAAAAACAGGTGTGCAACAATGCATTTGGATCAAGCAACTGACTTCGAGTTCTGGAATAAGGACCAATATCAACGAATTGCAACTTTAGCTATGTCCAAAGACTCAGGTACCATCAGAATTTTAAAACTACTATACCTGAAGTGCAGTTATATCTTCATCCTGATTAACCAGAGTTAGCAGACCTGCAAGGCAATACTGTGAATGATAAATTTATAGAAGTACTTTTCAGAAACGAGTTAGCTCAGGTTGGTAAACTTTACCATAGTCAGTATGAGCTCCGCTGTGATCATTTGAGCAGTAGATATGAGCACAAGAAACAATAAACAAGAAAGTGTTATTTACACAAACCCCAGCGACTTATAGAAAAAGAATGTAATGAAATCGGGTTGCATTACCATCCTATGTCATTTTCCGGAGCATCATGACCATTTGTGCTTGAAAGACCAGGGTAACCAATAATGCGTAATACCCAAAATGCGTCTCCTGTTATATCCCCTTCAAACTCATCGGGTGAACCACTTAATGCTAGAGCTATTCCGCGCATAATTTTCCTTGAAAGGTCTGTCAGTGAAAAGAAATTTGGAAAAAGATTCAACAATTTATAGAAGTGAAAGACAAGCAAGAAGAAGCCACTATGAATAGCATGCCTGTGCACAGGTTGACATATTTCTCCATGAGTGGTTTGAAGTTTGGTGGATTGAGTGCCCTGCGGGGAGCAGAAGATCATCAATAACCAATTCATGATTTCCTGAGAAAAAAATCTGACTTCCTCCCAAACACAGCTTGTACCGCATTGATACCCTATTTCCTCATAACAAACATTTAAATTATCCTTCAAAGCACCAACACATTGGACCTTAAACCTTCTGGCCATGAGTGGAGGCAAAAACATGCAAATTATGCGTGCTGGTGATTTTCTTGGCAATTCACATAGCACAATCTAACTAGAAACCAACAAGCTCATCATCGTTGTGCAGGCCATGTAAGCTGTTACAAATTTATCACGCTTGATTTAGTTCAGTGATAACCTATTGAAAATCTTCTATTTTCTCTAATTGATGGCAAAAAGCACACGGGCCTCCGCAGAGCATCAAACTGGTTAAGGTTTATCTTTCCCTATAACGAGATCCGCTCCTTTTAGGGTATCATTCAGGCCCTCTAGCTTTGTGGAGCTAAGTTAGGATGATGCAGAAACATCAGCTAGTCCAATTCAGCACAGGAAGCCAAGTAGCTTTGAGATTCTTATGGTCAACCGTCCACCAAACTTGAACGCATATTGGACTAAGAACAAAAGTTTGTTGCAAAGTTTCTGCCTTGTATTGTATGAGGCACGATAAGTTTGACTAGATACATTCATTACATACCATTGATTACATCCTTCCATTACTTCGCCAAGAGCTCCATACCTACCAGACTGTATCTCTCTATAACACTGTTCACATAAACAAAACAAATGACAACAATCTGTAGGTAAAAATGACAAATCTGCAGGCAGTGATGAAGATAGATATTTAAATCTACAGGAAGGCAACGTATAGAATACGATTCAGTGGATGACAATAAAGTGCATAGGAGATATAAGTAATCTGGGCATATTGCTTTAAATTTTTAACGATTTTCCATCAGAAAAACAGAATATTCCAAGTGTTAAGCATAAACTGAATGTTTCAGCAATATCCTTCAAATCTACATAATCAAGCTATCTGCTAGAAATTATCTTCCACATTTGTCTCAAAATCTTAATCTTAACTTTTACTGTGTCAGAAAATGAGATGAACTGGTTGGCCCGGACGGTGGAAAAGTTAAAATAAGAAGAATAAATATTTCAACAAGAAGAAAGTTTTCAAAAATGTCTTTAGAAGATACATTGTAACTCTGGATAAAATGTCATAATAGAAAAACAACAGGTATCATAATGAATCCCCAAGAATTTTTGCTGGGACCTTGGCCCCTTCCATCTATATAGCTGCAGCAAGAATATGACATTGGAGATCATAACCAACTTTATCCATCCTCCACATACGTGTGATGCAAAACTAATTGTTCTCGAGAAACAAACAACGGTGCACGGAAAGCAAGAGAATTGTCCCACAATCAGCCAAGTTTACATTGTAAGGAATTTGTTCTAACCAAGTCATAAGAATCTAAAATGCTCTTACTCTGATTGCTCTAGGTTTCTGTAGAATATGGACAGAAAGGGAGTTCATTTATGGCATTGGATGGGGAGTCCTACGAACTACTACATTTACTCAAGATTTTCATTTCAAAGATGATTCTTATAAACTTCCAAGGCACATTACTCAAATGATTCAAAAGTGGAGAAAACCTGAAGTAGAAAACGTACATCAATTGCTTCATGCATATCAGGAGTTCCTTTGGTGATATTTTCTCCTACTCTCTGATATCCCCTGCATTCAAAATGTGAACTGTCTATTGACACCAAGTTCACAAAATGTTCTACTACATTGCAATTAGACAACTACTCAAGCCATCTCAGGGAACTAACCTGTATCCAGCAGAAGCACTTAACTTAATCTTTAATTTTTCTTCATAAGGAAGATCAAAAAAATTGTGGGTCACGTCTTTAACCTCCTTAGTTAGCGAATCAGGTATACCATGACCCTTCTGCTCAATTACATGACCATAGTATAAGAAGAGAGCTTAAAAACAAGCAATAGCATAAAATAAAATAAAACAGACAAAAGAAACAAGTAATGCATTATAGAGGAGAATCAGAGCACAGAAAAAGGGTACCACGTAGAAGAATCCAGCTTCCTTACAAGCCTTGTCTAATTGCTGAACGACTTCACACACGCCTGGGTCCTGGGCCATTTTAGGGTCATCCCATTTCTCCACTAAGGGACCAATATCTACCCAACAAAAAGGTAATGGTATAGATTACAGATAACTTGAACTAATTAAACTGACTGACAAAGACAACATCAAGGTCAGATTTTCTTGGGGGTTGGCTACGGGAAAGGGGATAACTACTTGGAGTTAAACACAAAACTATATGGAGAGAGGAATTAGTAATTATGTTAGTGTAAGTGGTGATTATTACCGATGATGGGGAGAGATTTGAAGTCGGTTGCCATGGGTGGATTTGCTCGAGGATCTTTGTCTCTGTATGTATCTGTTGTGATGACTTGAAGAGGACAGTACTGCTACTGCCCATTGTGCGAGTATTATTTACTACTAGCTCACATCCCGTGGATTCCACGGGCTTGCATTAATTTTTGGGAAAAAATTAAACATTTTAACTACTATTTTAGGCATTTATTATGTAATATTAAAAAAACGTGCACATAATTTGTTTCTAAATTATTAATTTTTTCCATTTTTTCATATAGATCTGGAAAATAAATAAAAAATTATTAAAATATAAATTAGAATACAAATTAGAAAAATAAATAAAATAAACTATTTAATAATAATATAAATAATAAATAATTTTTAAAATTTAAACATGCATTATTATCCCTTAAAACAAAAAAACATATTAAACAACCAAAGAAAAAGTTAAAATAATTAATTAATAATAAAAAGAAATAAAGAATATAAGAGAGTAATTTTTAAAACATAAATCAGTAAATGAATAAAAAATATTATTATAAAAAATTAAAATAGAAAATATAATATAGATCAGAAAAATAAATTATAATTTAATAAATAATAATATAAAAATAATTAATTTTGCAAAGTTAAACATGGATCATTGAGCCAAAAAACAACAAAAATATTAAACAACAGAAGTAAAAATCAAAAGCATTAATAAAGGATAACAAAAAGTAAAAAAAAAAACTTAAGAGACTAATTTTAAAGAAATATAAATCAGGAAAATATTAGAATATTTATCACGCAGAAAAAATTAAATTAGAAAATAAAATATAAATCAGGAAAATAAATAAAATAAACTGTTTAATAATCATATAAATAATACTTATTTTTTTATATTTAAACATACATCAGTGAGTCCCAAAACAAAAAAATATATATTAAACAATAAAATAGAAATTAAAATAATTAATTAATAATAAATAAAACATAAAAAAATAAGAGGGTAATTTATAAAAATAAAAATAGGAAAAAAACTGAAAAAAAACTATTATTACGGAAAAAGAACCTTAAAATAGAAAATAGAAAAAAATAAAAGAAAATACTCAATAATAATATAAATAATAATTAATTTTGTAAATTTATACCTACATCATTTATTAATCCATGCTTGGGCCTACATAATTGACCCTAAAAACAAAAAGATTAAACACAGAGTAAAAAATTATAAGAATTAATTAATAATAAACAAAAAAATAAAAAATCATACAATGAGTCATTTTTAATATAAAAATCATAAAAATAAATAGAAATATCCATTTATGAATAACAACTTTAATATAAAAAATAGAATATAAATCAGAAAAGTATAAAAAATATTTAATAATAATTAATTTTGTAATTTAAACATGCAAAATTGAGTCCTAAAATAAAAATTAAAAAATAACAGAAAAATTAAAAAATATATAAAACATAAAAGAGACCAAAAAAAATATTATATAAAATAATAATATAAAGAGCAATTAATTTATGAAATAAAAAATTAACAAATTAAAAGACATAAAAAATTAAAACATACTTTTGCATCAATTAAACTCATATCTATGCTAATAAGGAGGTTCTATAATTTTGTATTCAATGATTCCTACAATCTCACGAAACTCTAACTTGATTTTTCCATAAATCATTCTCAAGAGTCAATTCATCCAAAGCTTTAATATACATTTTCCTGCACAAACAGAAAATATAAAAATAATTAAAGTAGAATGGGAAAATAAAAAATATAAAAACAAATTGGATGCTTAATTATGAGAGACAAAATAACTTTAATATTATATCAACATTCATACGTATGCAAATAGAGACAAAACAAAGAAGAAATTAGAGAGGATGAGTGAATTATAGAGAAACTATATCACACACAGACAGAGACTACAGAGACTATATCTAGGCCTTGTGTAGTGCAAAAAAAAAAAAGAGGTAAAAGGAAATCAATGAATGATAGAGAAACTGTATCACATACAGAGACTATTATTTCACATACACAAACAAAGACTGTATCTGTATTTAAAGAGAGATGATGAATTTTTGAAGAGATGCATGATAAAAAGAACAAAAAAGGTTAGTTGAGTATAATATAATTCTTATCAGAAAACAATAATAGAGTAAATCACATAATATATATAACAATCTCTGCCTGTGAATTTTCTTTTGACCAATTTGGATGTGACTGGAATTCTTTTTAAAAGAATATAATTAAGATCAGATTCATCAATTTAAATAAAAATAATTTTATCTTTATCTTTATTGATTAGAAACTCTGGTTATCAGTTTAATGGAAAAAATATATATAATACCAATATCTGCGTGTGAATTTTCTTTTGAAGAATTTGGGTGTGTCTGGAATTCTTTTTAAAAGAGTATAATTAAGATAGGTTATCTGTACCATTCTTGCATATGAATTTTCATTTGAACAATTTGAGTGTGATTGAAATTCTTTTTAAAATAGTATAATAAATCAGGTTACTCTAAGATAATTATGTTTGTCATTATGGTCAATCAAACTATACCTACAACCTTCCAAATGGCAATAAAGGAAGAGCCCAAAGCCTCCACATGGCAATAAAGCAAGACTTCAAAAATCCTATGTGTCAAAACCTGGTGAGGAATACTGTAACGCCCCGAATTTCCAATAATTAATTTCTATGGAATTTTAAGAATTTTTAAATTTTATTTCCAATTCTAGCCTCGAGGAATTTCCGGGATTTTTGATTAAGAAAATTTATATTTGTAATTTATTTTCCTTGGAAATCTTGTTTTAAGTTGGAATTAATACTTCTATCGAGTTCTTTTGGAGTTTTATCGTGTTTCGGTGTGAAACACAAATCTTGATGTAGTTTGGTCCGAAACTACGTAGTTTCAGGGAATGGTAAAGAATAAAAGGGTTGCGTTTGACCAAGGGGGGAGGGCGCGTTGACCTGCGGCTTGAGGAGGGTGAAACGACGCCGTTTTGATGACCAAAACGACGCCGTTTCGAGAGCTGGCTGGGCTTTAGGGTTAGCGTGGGTATAAAACCCATCACTTCCTCCCTCTCTCCTCTCTTTCTTTTCTTCCTTCCCTTCCCCGACCTCGGCCGCCCCTCCCCTGTTCTTCTTCTCTTTTCTCTTCTATTTTCTTTCTCTCCCTCTTCACTCCCCACGATCCCTTCCCCCTTTTCCCTCTTTGTTCTCACTCAGAACCGTCACACTCCATCCCTCTTTCTTCTCTTCTCCTTTACTCCTTCGAAGCCGCTGCTCCTGTTGCATCTCTGTCATGAGTTTATCTTCCTTCTCCTCTCTTCGATTAAACAGCCGCCGCCGCCCCTTGAGAGGACGCCCTCGCCGATTGTGCCTATAAGGGGGGAGACGGGCTTGTGCGAGGCGAGTCGTTGCTGAGCTCGTGAGACGGGTAAGTCATTGATCGTTATTCATCACTTCAACTTTGCCTTGTACATCTTTGGGTACCGATTTCTAATCGGGTTTTGCCTTGATTGTGGACGACGGTGGGTTTGGGATGTGTTGATGTTGGTGGCCGGGTCTGGTCGCAGTGTTGACGGGTCGGCTGCTAGTGGTCGATTCCGGCAGTGAGGTTCGGGTTTTTGGTTGTTGACGGAGGTGGTCGAGGCGGCCTCAGTCTTGCGTGTTGCTGGTCGGCGGGGTGGTGTTTGTGGTCGGGTTCTGTGTGAGCGGGCTGGAGGGACGGTGTGACTGAACTGTCACTGCCGCCGTGAACGGGTAAGTGCCTCGCTGCAGTTCTTTTCTCTTTTTCGTTCTTCTTTTCTGTGTTGCTGTTTTGCTGTTAATTCGAGTTGTGGGTTTTGGCTGGTTGCTTCGCTGTGTTCGGGAGCAGGGCTGTGGGTGTTGGTACGGGATGTGGTCGGGTCGTGTGGTGGTGTTTGGTCAGTAGCCGTGTCTGCCGCTGGTTGTTGCCGGCAGTGTGAATTGGGTTATGCTGGTTTGTTCTCCGGTAAGCAATTCCGGCGACCTGTGTTGGTGTTCTATTCTCCTTGTTGTTTGTGGTCATGGATCTAAAGTACTAGCTGTTGGGTTGTTGTTTATGGTGCTTGGACAGTTTGTGGAGAACGTTTCTTCGTTCTGTAGTTCTGGTGTCCTTCCAGCGAAGCTTCACCGGAATCCGGCGAGCTCGGGAATTTTCCGGCGAGGCTCGGGTTGCTGTTCCGGCAAGACAATGTTTTTCGGCATTTCGTGGTAATTCTCGGGTGTTGATGCGAATTTCAATTCTTGTCCAATCATGTAGTGTAAATGCATATAATCAGTGTATTGAAATAAAACGGATCTAGTGGAAACCGGGTGTGGGGAAAGAGTGACGCGTGGCCGGTATATATCCGACGCACATAATATCCTTAGGCCGGAAAGGTCGGGCTCGGGAGCTCGATTAATGTGGGTAAGTGAATGGGCCGGGCCTAGACCTAAGTTATGTCACGTTAGGGATATATGGGCTTTAGGCCCAAGGACTATTTTTAGATACGGGCTAAAGGCCCAATAAAGAGTAGTTAATGTAAGATGGGTTCTAGGCCCATTGGCTTAAAATGATACGGGCTTTAGGCCCAGATATAAGTTTGGACATGGTTTGGGCTTTAAGCCCAATAAAGTGTAAGTGATTTAACATGGGCTTTAGGCCTAAATAAGATTAAGGTATGATTTGGGCCTCAGGCCCA